CCCCCATCTTTGTGAATAAAATAAATAAATATCAACGAAAATAAATAACATTAATAAATCAAAAAGTATGATTGATTACGGAACGGTACCTGATCCTTTTCAGTCCTCATTGCACGATACTGTTCATCCTGTCACTGTCAGTGATCATGCCATGGTTCCTTCATGTGGACGACTCACTGAACCAAGCTAAAATGTTTGTGAACTAACTGTCTTGACGCTAGAATCCTCTGCAAGATCCACAATGTAAACACGACTTTTTTTATCAGCCATTATTCCACGCAGCCGCTGTTGTTGTGCTTGCCTTCACTGCCAACCATTCGGGACTAAGAAACTGCTTTTTGGTTTGCGGCAAAAGCCTCGTTGCTTTTTTTTTTTTTTTTTTGGTGAAATCTAAAATTAAAATGAGCCAAATTGGGGCAAACCAGGCCAACTATTTTTTGGGGGGCCAGTCATAATCCTAAAGAGCCAAATTTGAGCAAATTGGCCCCATTTCAAACTGGCAGCCCTGACTGACTGACACAAATGGAATGTTCGAACGGATCTCCCGCCAGGGTCACAGAAGTCGCAGTTCATGCCAGTTGCCAGAAATGAAATAAAAGCCTGCCACTGTCAAATTAAGAGATTTTCATAAATTTACAAAGACAAAAAGGAAAACTCTGACAAAATCAAACCATTACAAAGCAACTACCAAATACAAAGACAAAAGCCAACTCAACAAAATATATATCTAGCAAAAAAACAGCAACCAAAAACAAAAACAGACCTGGGACTAGGCTAAGGAAATGACATAAAAAAGAGCCACAAAAGGAGCCAACCCGCCAAGTCGAAAAAAAGCCGCCTCGAGCTAAAAAAAGGAGCCAAGAATGGCGGGAAAGGAGCCAATCTGGCAACACTGCTTACTTATCCAACCAAATACCACCAGCGCTTTCCTTTAATAGGACCACTGTTTGACCTATTAAAAACAGAAACGTTTGAACATCTCCCTTGCTTCCACCCTTTGCCCCACCCACAGGTGTAACAAACACAGTCAACCAATGCCACCCCTCACTGCCATCATGTAACAACAATTTGAGGATCTCCTCTCTAGGCTGGCCGTACGATGAGGGAGGCAGACATTGGTCAATCTAATTTCATACCTCTCACACCTCTACCCAGGGAAGTTTCCGTAGTGGCTCGCTACTCGAGCACTCTCACGGGCAGTTGTGAGATTTCACACCCACACTACCCTGACCATCTGCATCGCTCAGGGCTCACATGATGAGGTAACATCTACCCCCAAGTGGCACCCCAACTCCCTTTCCTTGCCCAGCGACATGGCCATGACGTTAAGTTTAAGCCGGCGGAACCAAACTTGCGAGTTAAGGAGGACTCCAGGGTTAGATTTAGCGAGAATATGGCCGGCAAAGTGTTGTGACTTTTACGCTGAAGTGTTCTTAGCGATCAGAAACTGAACATTTACTTTTTTGTGCCTTTCAGAAATGTTGATCAGTAAAATCCACACTGAAATTACGAGTTATTAGATACGGTGTAAACGGTGTTGGATAAAAAAAAAAAAAAAGGAAAGAATAAATTGGGGGAAAAAATTACCGAGAGAGTGGAAGGGTGTTGATTTCTTCGATTTCGTTATTTTGACGAGCGCCTGATTTCACCACAATGCCTTACATTTATTCTTGCATTCATTAATTAACAGGTGGCTGGAGGCTGAGAAAGTGGAAGAGCTAACACCCAACCATAAGAAAGTTGCAGATACCGAACCGGAGCAACTGGAAAGGAAACCAGGGGGAGAAATCAGCAAGGAATTGGGACAGGACGCGGTGGTGGGCCCTAACCCGGTACATCGACAGGACGCCGATTTAGCTAGCAAAATATTTGTTCCTGTGATCTTCATCATAGCTGTGATATTCCTCTTCCTGTTTGCTGGACGGAAAAAGTTCTTCCGCTTTAACTCTTTAAAGGTGTTTCGGACATTTAACGTCTGGCCGCAGACCAAAGACACATCTTGAACCATAATACACAAAATCAGAAACACGAATTTACATAATTTTGTCATTGTATGAATTTGTTGCTTACCTGTTTTACGTTTCAAAGGAAGAAAACAGATTGGAAATATGTGCACTGATAAAGAAGGTATGTTTCAAAACAGCACGTCTTCATAATGGACTGGGACACGGTAATTCTATTTGAAAGTACATGTATGATGTGTGTATCTCTCTCTCTCTCTCTCTGTGTGTGTGTGTGTGTGTGTGTGTGTGTGTGTGTGTGTGTGTGTGTA